CATTCTGTTAGCATGTATAGTAACTCTCTCGGTTTTATTGGCAGACACATACATATCACATACGTGTGTCTGAACAAGGATTTTATTTCATATATTCGTTACACATTTATATTACATGTTTATATATATTTCATATCTATGTATATTGTTCATATTATACACACATATATTTATTCACATGTACATGTCAAATGCGAAAATGGAATACCTAGGGACCAAATATATTTTTATAATTATATATATTCATTACATATTACGTATTCACATATATTATATATTTATGTATATTGCATTTTCATCTATATAATATATTTTTATCTATATTACACACATATATCTATCTATCTATCTATCTATCTATCTATATATATTGTATATATCATACACGCAAATATTCATTTGTTTACACATGTTAAAACAGAAGACCTAAGGATCAAACGCATTTCCAGGAGCAGGTCAAGCTTGAGAACGACGAAGCTTACGAAGGAGGGTCGCGTCCTTATCCTCCAAGCCGCGTTCAAGCTTCATTTGTCCCTCCTCCTGATGACCCGAACTTCAAACAGGTATTGTGACCTTTTTTTTATCTTTGATTTTCTAAGTTTAACATATAAATCTTTGTCTGGAATATGAGTTGGTGACGTATGGGGTTGTACAAGTCGTTTCCTGATCAGCTGATATCCTCAGGAGGTCGTCCAGCTGGAGAATCCTACCGAGCACGACCAGCCGAGGGCGGGGGAGAAGAAGGAAGCGAAGGAGGAGGAGAGGAAAAGAGAACAAAGAGATACTGCAAGTAAAGTAGAGACTGGTGAGGGAGAAGAGGAAAGTCACGAGAAAAAGGTGGAGGAGCCCGCGGAAAAGGTGGAGAAGGTCGAGGAAAAGGTGGAGGAGCCCGCGGAAAAGGTGGAGGAGCCCGCGGAAAAGGTGGAAAAGGTCGAGGAAAAGGTGGAGGAGCCCGCGGAAAAGGTGGAGAAGGTCGAGGAAAAGGTGGAAAAGCCCGCGGAAAAGGAGACTCACGCAGAAAAGGTGGAGAAGCCCGCTACAGAACTACAGTCACCTCACAACAAAGAATTCGTAGTGTGCGAGACGCCTGAGTGTGCAGTAGCAGGTAAAACTACAGTCTAACTATTAAAATGCACAATTCATCATAATCCGAAATGCCACTCAAGTCCTTTTTTTCTCAAGGTCATTCACCAAACTTGGGGTCAGCTGATCCCCCTTAAGGCCATTTAAAATTTATCTTTAGTTTTTCATCACTAGATGCTGAAAAAAATGGCGGGGAGGGCATTTTACATTTTATATTTCATATTTTAAAATTTTCCCGTCTATGTGAAATGAGGAAGGCTGAAGTCCAATATTTTGTGCAATTCGAAGTACTTGCATTTATTCTGAACAATAAAAACAGAAATTGAAACAGCAAACTAAAAAAAAATATAGTTTAACATTATACAAGAGGACTGTGGCTTCAAAATCAATATCAAATCAGTATGGTAAAAATATAGACTACAAATTTCAGTGACAGAATTTCCTTGACTTGCAGCAGTATAGTTTGGGTTACAAATTTCAATAATCTCCTTGACATTACACTATCTATGCGATCTCTGGTGCAGCAAAAAAGTAAAAAAAAAGACACATTTTGAAAAAAAATATAAAATATAAAAAGAAATTGGGGCGGGCCTAAAAATCGGGACGGACGGTGATGAAAAACTAAAGATTAATTTTAAATGGCCTAAGATGCTTGAATCCCACTGATATTAGTCCTTGATCGCTTTATCAGATATCCTATTTTTTTTCGTTTCGTGTATTACCACCGCGTGCCTATTGGTCGTCTATTCTACATCATTTATCATTCTTTACATTCTTCTCACTTCAGCATGATACACGTTCGTCTCATACCCTGATTATTTACTGTTATGTATCTTCTTGTCCAATATAATTCATTTTCCACAACCACATCACGAAACCCACTTCTCACGACCGAACCATTCGTCCCTATAAGTACTCTAAACCTTAACTCGATCGCCACGGATTTATGTTCTGCCCCCCTGTATTTTTTTGTGAATTTTGTTACCTATAGATGGCTCCACATGTGCTTAGCCGGCAAGGAGTCTATCAGAAGATCCTAGTTACCGATCCTGATTTCCCCATTTCTTGATTTTGGCGGGAAACTGTGTTCTTTTTTTTCTTTTTTCAATACAATAGATATCGATACTGTTATTGATGTTGGGATGATTAAATCGTTATTAAAATCTGTGTGCAATTGGGTTAAGAGTAAAATCTATCTATCTATCTATCTATCTATCTATCTATCTATAAATCTATCTATCTATCTATCTATCTGTCTATCTATCTATCTATCTATCTATCTATATATATATTAACTTCACCACAGGAATTCCTCCTCAAATCTTACCCTGCTATGACCTCACGCATGCTCCTTGACCTCCAGCCTCACAGATCTCGGAGAGTCTTGACCTTTCGACGAATCCTTGCGATAACTTTT